TTGAGATATATAGTCCCACATTGGTTGTATGTGCAACTAATGTGGAGTTTATAAGGTCTTGAGCACTCCCACCCTTTGAGCTAGCTTTTGGGGTGGTGTATCCCAATGTTCTTTACATGGTATCAGAGCCTCGTCGCCTCTCACTTTCTCTTGTGGCATTTCTTAGCACAGGTTAGACTGGGCCTGTTGCATTGTCCACTCTTCAAGCCCAATGGGCTCTTGTGTGAGGGGGCGTGTTGAGATATATAGTCCCACATTGGTTGTATGTGCAACTCTTCAAGCCTCAGTGTACCGGGTTCGAACCTCACCGCCCTCTACTTTCTTTCAAGTGAAATTTCTTTGTTCGCACAGGTAGGTGGGCCTGTGCATTGTCCACCCTTCAAGCCCAGTGGGCTCTCGTGTGAGGGGGCGTGTTGAGATATATAAAACCATTAACGTAGCCTCACCCAACAGCTTAAGCTTTTGGGTTGAATTGGTTCTTTACACAGAGGTATATGTCATAAACGTTCAGTTACTTACCAAGGCAATTGTTTCATGTTCTTGACATGTTCTTATGACAAATCATAATGGTTGATTAGAAAGGATATGTGAGAACAACATTCGTGGACCAAGAACATGCCATGAAAAGTATGTGGCACACCAACCAAAATTCTGCCTCCATATATAGGAAAGCTCTTGGTCTGATGCAGTTGACTCACGACATCTAAACTTTATTATTAGACTTAGCTTCGACCTAGTTCTCATTAACATTCAAGATCATGGAAAATGGAAGAGAGGATGAGATTGAGGACATGTCAATGTCACCCCCATCCGTTGGTTCCATGCAGATTGCAGGGAGCAATGGCTTTGGTCACAGCATGGAGTTCATGCCTCAGGCATACCTTCCTAATAGTTACTCAGAGATTGACATTCAAGTTGAGGATTCCTGTTTCAACCAAGATCCCCCCCTCCCCGTATATCTCAAGGTAGGGACAAATTAAATGCCATAATTCCACAATGAGAGTCTTGGTGATTCACTACTTAATATTGGAAACTGGTATCAATTAGAGTACTTTTGTCAGCAATTTTTTATGAAAATAATAGACAAATTTTCATGAATGTGCAGTTTGAAGATGTAGAGTATAAGGTGAGAAATAGCCAAGCAGCTTCTAATAACCCAGTGAAGATAATGGTGTCAAAGGTAGCCACACAACTCCACGTGGAAGAAGATAGATACAAGAAAATTTTAAAGGGTATCACAGGAAGCATTGGTCCTGGAGAAATTCTTGCTTTGATGGGTCCTTCTGGTAGTGGGAAGACAACCTTGTTGAGGGTTGTAGGAGGAAGATTACTTGACAATGTAAAGGGAAAGATAACTTATAATGATGTGCAATATACTTCGGCTGTCAAGAGGAGGTTAAACAGTTTCATAGACATGAATCAGCATCTATGACTTGACATACACTTCACATTTTCATGAAGCATAATATGTGCTGATATTGTACTCTTTTTTTTTTTTTTCTGCCTTATAGGATTGGATTTGTGACACAAGAGGATGTGCTTTTCCCACAACTTACAGTAGAAGAAACATTAATCTTCTCTGCATTCTTAAGGCTGCCAACCAACATGAGCAAGCAACAAAAATATGCTAGAGTGGAAAGCACAGTCAAGGAGCTAGGCCTTGAAAGGTGTGTTTTGCAAAGGTCTACATTTGACCTTACATAAGATTATTGAATGCTCAAATTAACTACAAGTTCCTCCAAAAGAAAGAAATAAAAATGTTTTTCCCTAAATAATCTCTTGTATAACTACAGATGTCGCCACACAAAAATAGGTGGGGGATTTCTCAAAGGCATATCAGGAGGAGAAAGGAAGAGAACAAGCATAGGCTATGAAATTCTTGTTGATCCTTCACTGCTGCTACTTGATGAACCAACTTCAGGCCTTGATTCCACCTCAGCAAACAGACTGCTTGTTACTCTTCAGGGACTTGCCAAGGTATCAGGAACTAAATTTAACTGTCATTTTGATAACATGCTTCATGTCCAGAACCGCGGAATTCGGAATATATGCTGAAAAATACTTCTGATTTACCTATAGGGTGGAAGGACCATAATCACAACAATTCACCAGCCATCCAGCAGAATCTTTCACATGTTTGACAAACTTCTTCTGATATCAGAAGGCTATCCCGTTTACTATGGGAAGGCTAGAGACTCAATAGAGTACTTTTCATCTTTGAGGTTCATTCCGGAAATACCAATGAATCCTGCAGAGTTCTTGCTTGACTTGGCAACTGGACAAGTGGATGACATAAATGTCCCACGAGATATTTTGGAAGATCAAGAATCTACTGACCCTTCAAAAACTGTTATTAAAGTAGGATTCATTATAAGTATTATATGCTTGTTCTATCTCATTACCACTTAATAATTGTTTCTTTATTATTAGTATCTACAACTCAAGTATAAAGACTTACTGGAGCCAAAAGAAAAAGAAGAGAATCATGGAACAGCAAACACACCAGAACATCTTCAAGTAGCTATTCAGGTTAAAAAGGAATGGACATTGAGTTGGTTGGACCAATTCGTTATTCTTTATAAGAGAACATTCAGAGCAAGATGCAAGGACTATTTTGATAAATTAAGACTAGTTCAAGCACTTGGAATCGCACTTTTGTTGGGGCTTCTTTGGTGGAAATCTTCAACCAATACAGAGGCTCAACTCAGAGATCAGGTAATTTCCATGGCATTGTTTTTCATATGTTACAAAACTGGGCTTCTAATCTACCCATCTCTTTACTATCTTTGCTGCAGGTTGGTTTAATGTTCTATATCTGTATATTCTGGACATCTTCATGTATTTTTGGAGCAGTCTATGTCTTCCCATTTGAAAAGGTTTACTTGGTGAAAGAAAGGAAAGCAGACATGTATAGACTAAGTGTATACTATGCATGCAGCACACTGTGTGACATGGTGGCACATGTTTTCTATCCTACATTTTTCATGCTTATCTTGTACTTCATGGCTGGCTTTAAGAGAACTGTTGCTTGCTTTTTCCTGACGTTGTTTGCAGTGCTGTTAATAGCTATAACAAGTCAAGTAAGTTATTTCAACACTCAGAATAGGTTAGTGATTTATCATTTGTTCAAAGCCTTAATGAACATTTTGTTGTTAATAGGGTGCAGGAGAACTATTTGGAGCTGCAGTTATGAGCATTCAAAGAGCAGGAATGGTTGCTTCTTTGATACTAATGTTATTCCTTCTAACAGGTGGTTATTATGTCCAGGTATGCACAAGAAATAGCAACAATGTTAGTAAAAACAGTACTAGGTGCAATAGAATGAAAAATTCCCATAAAGAAACTGAGACAGAACTAAAATAGGAGTCTGTTGAATACGGTAATCATTCAATTTATGATCTCATTTAATAAGAGTAACACTCAGAAAACTTGAATGTGTTGCAGCACATACCAAAGTTCATGCAGTGGTTGAAGTATTTGTCGTTCATGTACTATGGGTTCAGACTGCTTCTAAAAGTGCAGTATTCAGGAGACCAACTATATGAGTGTGAAAGCAAAGGAGGGTGCAGGACCCTTCAGAGTTCACCTTCATTTGACACAGTAAACTTGAAAGGAGGGTTAAGTGAAGTATGGGTTCTGTTGGCCATGGCTCTATGCTTTAGGTTGTTTGCCTACTTCTGTCTCCGAAGACGAATTGACGTTTGCAATTAGTCTTTGATGAAACTTGTTTTGTTTTAAGGCTAAAGAGACACTGGATTCAACTTCTACCAATTTTCTTAAAGAAATGCACTTCATGAATATTATGTAAGTTACGGCTTGATGCGATATTAATGCAGTGACGAGATATCTATAGTTTTTTTCTCTTATGCATTGAACTATAATCTCACACAAATTATTCAAGTCTCTAGCTCACTCTAGTGATCTTATATTTAAATTTTTTCTATAAATATAATATTCGATTTCTACACTTAAATGAAGATTAGTGTAGTTGGATGATACTTTTAACAACCTTTTTGAAATAAAAAGTACAGAGTTATTGCCCAAAAAAACATTATTTTGTTTCTATAACTTATTTTTTATGTTCTCATTTTACACATCTCTTTTATGGGGGAAAAAAGTTGAATAACTTGAATTGCCCCTTTAATTTAGTTTAATAGCCTATCTGATTTTCAAAAAATTACTAATGACACAGCACCTAAGGCATTAAGATTATAAATTGAGAAGTATTTCTTTAAATTTAAAAACTTAATAATTATATTAAATTTTTAAATAAAAACAAAAAATATTCCTTTAATATTTTTTATATTTTCAGAATTTTATTTTCTTTAAATAACCTTTAAAGAACATTCAACATTTTTGCAATGAGTATGGGCCTGGGTCATCGGGCCAACATTACGTCCATCAAAAACTACCAGGCCCAGCACAAAAACATATCAGGCCAACCCGCTAGAAGGACAAGTTGTTGACTTAGTAACTTCCTACCAAGTTCCGTACGCTCAGTCCTAGACTTAAGGGTTAGTTAATGAGTGCATTAATTAAAGAAATGAAATTTAAATCATTAAATAAAAAATAAAATTGTTAATATGCTCTAAAACATGAGAAAAGATATACTTACCACTAAAAAAATTTACAACCTTTATAACCAACCTAATCATCATTGATTTTCGTCAATCTAACAGTTATTATTTATTAGAAATTATTGGATCGCATTTATTAATTAATTATTAATTTCAATAAATGATAATCGTTAGATTGATAAAAATCAACAGTGATTAGATTGATTATAAATGTGGTAAACCTTTTTGTTGTAAATATATCCTCATCCTAAAATATTACTTAATTGTTATAAAAAATATATATATATATATTACTTAATTAATGGCTTAGGGAGACTTATAACTTAATCATTGTTAACAAATCAACGTGAGTGTAATCAATCGCACACTCAAAGCTAAGCACCAATTCCGTTTTCCTCTTTTTTACCGAAAACTTGCATATCAAATGATTGATCATATTCATCTCTCTGTCTCTCTCTCTCTCTCTCTCATCATGTGTTGAGTACTGAGTCAAACTGAAAACTCATTCTGACACAACCACAACCACATTCGTAAACATATCCACTATTTTGTTTCTGACTTTGTGTGTGGTGTGTTGTGTTTTATGGAGCTTGTCCCATATTCTGATCCGAACTCCGCCACCACCCTACCATGGCAGGACATGTTCCGATCCGCATCTGTGCGAAAACCCACCTCATCTCCTCCACCACACGCGCCGCCGCCATCGAATGCCGATCAAAAATTCAATCTTTCCGGCGACTCCCAGGTACGCCTCGCCCTCTACATAGCCATGGCCCACGCTGGTCTTGCCCTCACCATTATCGTTCTCTACGGTCTCTGCAAACTGTTGGAACAATATCTCAAACCCCTTCAATGGGCTGTGCTCTGTTCCATCCCTCTTAGACTCATTCACCAAACCATCGTTTCCTTTTGGTCTCAGCCTCTCAAACTAGGCCTCTTCTACACCTTCTTCGCCGTTCCCCTTTCCATTTTCAGGGTCTTTGTAACCACCCTCGTTGAGATTCGCGAAGCTTCTTTCAGGTTTATTCTCAGGAAACCAAAACCTGAGAACCCTCTTGCAAGAAAGCGAAGTGGGTTTTCCACTTTACTTCGTTTGCTCTTGTCTTTTGGGATTTTCGTTATCGCTTATGAGAGGCTTGGTGGTGTTGGGTCTTTGCCACTTCTCGGATTAGGCTTTGTTTTCAGTTCAAAGAATGTAGATTCCACTTTTTCTTCATTTAGGAGTATCAGCTTCGGGCGTAGCGCAATTGGTGCCTTTTTCACCAGAGGGATATTGAAGAGGTTGAAAACCATTGTTGCTGTTGGGTTGATTGTAGGTATGATTGTTGGTTTTTTGACTGGGGTGATATTCTTCTCTTATAAGATTGGAGTTGAAGGGAAAGATGCTGTGATTTCGCTGAAATTGCATGTGGAAGAGAGCAATTATGCTGAGAAAATTGGGGTTAGGAAGTGGATGGACGAGAATGATGTTCCTGGAATGGTAGATAGGTGCACTACTCAGTTCTATGAGACAGTGTCTGATCAGATTGATGGTTTGGCAAAACAGTACAATATGACGGAATTTGTGACCGGTATTAAGCAATTTGTGATAACTAGTCCTGCTAACTCTTCTCAACCTTCAACAGCTTTAATCACACCCTCACCGTACACTGAAAAGTTCTTGAGTTTGAAGAGTCGGGTTAGAAATAGGGAATGGAGCCAGATTTATACAGAAGTAGACACCCTTTTTCGCGAGATTATAATCACTCGTGAGGATTTGGTTGAAAAGGCAAAAGGATTTGCCATTAAAGGAATGGATGTCGGTCAACGTATTCTAGCTAGTAGTACAACTGTGCTTGGAGGTGGTGCAAAGTTTGTTTTCTCCATTTTGAATTCCATAATCTCTGGAGCTGCAGGGGTTTTCAATTTTGTATCTCAGACAATGGTATTTTTCTGGGTTTTGTATTATCTCATCACATCAGAGTCTGGTGGGGTAACAGAACAAGTGATGCACATGCTTCCAATTTCAAACTCAGCTAGGGTCAGATGTGTTGAAGTGTTGGATAAAGCTATTTCAGGAGTCCTTTTGGCCACTGCTGAGATTGCATTTTTCCAGGGATGTCTGACTTGGCTTTTATTTAGGCTCTACAGAATACATTTCTTGTATATGTCAACTGTCCTTGCCTTCATAAGCCCTTTGCTACCCATATTTCCATCTTGGCTTGCAACAATCCCAGCAGCAATACAACTAATGCTTGAAGGAAGATACATAGTGGCCATTGTCTTGTCTGTTATTCACCTTTTCCTCATGGATTATGGAGCAACTGAAATTCTGGAAGATGTGCCTGGGAATAGCGCATATCTTACTGGGCTGAGTATCATTGGGGGAATGACGTTGTTTCCATCAGCTCTAGAGGTATATTGTTACCCTCTATGATTTTATTTTCTGATATTTTTGTATAAGCAATTTGTACTTCATAGTATCTCATACTGTGTCTGTCATTTAGATTATCTGAAGGTTCCGATCCATATTGTTTTAAAATTAAGACTGGTTTGCCTGCATAATTTGATGTGAAATCAATTTTATAATGTTGGACTCAGCTATGAAGAAACATATGCTGTCTGCTTTTGTAAACATTGTGCCTTGGCTTGTAGTATCCATTGAATTGATGTAGTAAATCATGTGCACTTCTCTTGTTTTCCGTAACATTGTCATATTGATTGAAGGAGTATGTTGTTCCACAGGGAGCTATTATGGGGCCATTGATAACTACAGTTATGATTGCTCTGAAGGATTTATATGCTGAATTTGTTTTGGGCGAACCTGATGAAGAGGCCAAGCAGAAGGCAAGCTAGACATCTACCTACGGTATTGATTTGCAGTTGAAGATGGCTGCAAGTACATTGTTCTTTGCCACTCTATTAATGGAGCTTGTATCTTGATTTGTTTGTAATTATATCTTTGTATCATTAGATTATTATAATTGTTAAAATAGGACTTTGTTTTCCTCTTCTTTTTCTCCATTTTAGGGGTCACAAAGATTTTCACTTGGTGGCGATTGTTCCATAGTTGTACTGGTGTTGTACATTTAGTCCTGTACGGGTATTCTTGAAAGAATTTTTCTTATTCATTGTACCCAAAGGCAAAAATAAATACAAAAACACATATGAGCTTGTGGGAAAATTAATATTACCTGCTATTTTCTTGGATTTAACGGTTGAGATGTGTGTTAGTAACAATTTAAGGTTGATTCTCAGAAAATCTCACAGATCTCATAAGGTTTAAATCTGTGTATCCTCACCATTACATGTCTGCTAACTAAGTTATCATCTTAAAGTATGTATACATCCACCAAGTTTAGTTGTCCAGATTGTTAGGAGTATATTGTAATGTATAAATAATCTGATAGCAGAACATTGTAGCTGTTGATTAGTTTGTTAGTGAAATTGTTCTTGGAGTTTCGTTCCTTTCTCCACTAAGAAATTCTATCAAAGGATCAACTTATTAATGACATAAAGAAAAGATAACAAATGAGAATTGTAGCTCTAGTATATAGCGAGCATTGATTTTCACCATATACATGTTATTTATACAAAAACTATTGATTGAGGAAGTAGTATTTAATGATAAAGTAATGTACGTGACAAGAAGTGCTACGTGAGGTGTAAATAATTGAGCATTATCCTGAAGGAACACATCACAAGAAACACATGGACATGTGATTGAGAAGCCTAAAGCATGCACGGAACCTTTAAACGCTCAACTAATCAATCCAAGTTTGATAATATTTTAAAATTGGTTGCAGGATTTAATCTTAGTTATGGAAAACGGGAGAATATGTAACATCCCCGTCTCGAGCCGGTTCAATTAACATACATATGATACAAACAGAAACAGCGGAAGACTTAACTTACAAAAATATGAGCTACTTTTTCTTTTTCTAGCTTAATTCTTACTCGGCGTAAACGAAAATCGGGCAGAGTTTCCTCTATAAATCGGACAACTGGGGATTTTCCAATCCCACTCAGAAGCATTTCCTGATAAGCAGTTTATACAACATATCAATTCAGAAATACCAGATATCCAAATATAATCAAATACCCATACATGGGCGCATGCATAACATGGCTCCGTGCCACTAAATCTAACAGCATGCCATCAAAACATAAACCTATCTGAATACTACATCATCATATAACGTTCCTGAATACTCAAATGTACATGCATCAAACTGATAGACATGTACAAAACATATACAGGCCATATACAAAATAAAGGATCAATATCATGATCCATCAAATGCGAAAATACTAAAATACATCAAACACTCCAAAAAGGTAGTAGCCTACAGCCACTCAAAATCCGGTCTGTCAACTGCCTCAGCCACGTGTCGTGTCCCTGCCTAGTGAGGACTCACCGGAAATCTGGGCCCCTGAAAATGTGTCCCCAAAGAGGGGTGAGATTACAAATCTCAATAAGCTCCAGGTTTATAGAGAATTCTCCATACCCCTGGCTCACTCCTGCATGAAATTCAGATACAGAGTATACAAATACAACATATAACAGATATCATAACAGAACAGAGCATATATCCATATCATATCAGAGATGTGCGCCGTCATTCCCAAGGGAGGACCCCAAGCGGAAATCAACGCACGTGTTCCCGAGGGAGGACCCCAAAGCGGAACCAGACATATCAGAGGAGTACACCATCAGTCCCGAGGGAGGACCCCAAAGCGGACGTCCGGGTACTATACAATCAATGGCCAGAGATTGTTACAGAAATCATATTACAGAAGTCATATCAGAGCAAAACATATCATGTTATCAAATAACTCTATATGAATGCATCTATACAAAGCATCTAAATCACAGTCATACAGTCCAACCATAGTTCACTAACCATGGTGGAGCACTCAAGCAGGAAAAGACTCCTTAAACATAGAGCTTACCTCTTGAAGCTTTACCAATACCCTTACTTGTTGCACAAGTTACTTATATATCTTCAAGAGATTCTGATTCCTTTTTAGTCCCTAGGTACACCTAGAGCAAGAATCCACAAATACCAATTAATAAAATGCCATCATGCCTAGCTTTCACATAAGGCACACATTTTATCGCTTCTTTTCATTTCTTTGCATTTTTGCCAATCCTATGCCAATACACAAGTCTAGACCTCTTTATAACCGTTGGTGTTCTTTAATTTAATCATCCATTCCCTTACGAATTTCCAACATAAATCATAACATTTTACTTTAAAGGACCGTGAGCCTAAAATTAGGAAATCAATATATTTTTCCATGATTTCTTTTCAAACCATTTCACTTCATGCCTTATCATTTTCATACTTTGAAACACACATATTTTATTAAAATAAAATATGACAACATCTTTCCCTAAACACCCTATATGTCGAATCCTTTAAGGGAATTTCCAAGGATCATTCTCTTTTACAATACATTTTCCTCACTTAATTTAACAACTACACGTACATAAATATATATATATATACCAAGTTCCAATTTAATTTTTGGGAATCTCAAGCTCTTTAAATCCTTCAAGGACGAAACATCAAGGGTATGTTTCAAAGGATTTTCTTTCAAATTTAACATTCTTACTAACTCATCAAATTTCCTCTTATTCAAGCACATTAAACCTTCCCAATACATACAATAAATCTTTGTGCATCATCCCTAATTACCCTATCAAGGCCGAAATCTAGGGTATGTCACCATGGGATTTTTTTTTCCAATTTTTTATACATGTTCATATGCTTATTCCACATTCCTATATCCAACACATCATCAATCCATCATCAATTCAAATTTTAAACTAATTTATTTCACACCAACATATGCTCACAATTTCTATGACACAAACCATCAAAATAACATCATGGAAACAAAGGTTTCTTACCACTAATCAACTTCCCAAAGCCTAGAAAGCAACCTCCAAGCCAAGCTCCATCAAAAACTCACTTTTTCTCCTCCAATGAATAGTAACTCGAAAATGAGAGGAGGAATAACTCTTCACACACTCAACTATAGCTCAAATGGATAGGAGGAATGGATTCATTGAGTGGTTTCCAATCAATTTCATGTGGTGGGTCATTGGATTTGGTGGCATATTCAAGAAGAAATCAAGAAAAGAAATAAAGCCCTAAACCCCCCCCTTCCATGATGAACTCCACGGCTTGCAAGAGAGAGAAAGGAGTTTTAGTTGTGTGAATAGTGATTCACTTGAATGACAAAGCTTTATAGCCACATGTGACTTTTTAACAGATGTTTTTCTTTCGCGTATTTTCACTTAAACTGACCCGGAACTAACTCAATGCTACAAACATATTTTTATTTTTCTAAAATCATTTATATTTATTTTTAATTCTTACAAAACAATATTCATAATTCACAGTATGATTTTTGCACCGTTTTTGACGAAATGCACTGTGAATCACTAATTGTACTTCATTTACTTATGAAACTTAAACTTATAAACTTATCATTTTCTTGGGCCTATATTGACTTGCTTGGCATATATTGGACTTTCTTATTCTTATTTCATCAATTATTTTTTTCTGGGCTCTACCGGTTGCTTAAACAGCAGTACAAAATACCCGGTAAAAACACTATTCACGAGATTTTCACGGAAAGTGCCAGACTATACAATTTTTTGTTCTGAACTCATATTTGTCGTCAGAATTATCAAATTATGTTCCTAAAATTATTTTGCTCATTTAAGCTCTACCCGTTAATTCACAAAACTGTAAATTCTTCGGCAGAACGCACTGTTCATAACATAGTCATGATTACAGTCAAAAATACTCGAAATCGCTCACTGAATCTAATTATGGCATTTAAATCCTTAAATTAAATCTCTAACTAAGATTTACCAGTTAGGGTCATTATAGAATACTTTACTCTCGGATTTTTCATTAAAAAAAAAAAAAGAATAGCAAAAATGGAAAACATGCAGATTATTGTAGACGTACATACTTGGAAAAAGAACATAAGTTGATGCTAATTGTTCTTCGGAAGTCAATAGGAAGCTGCCTTTATGTATGTGACTTTTGTACAAAATTTTGTTATGCATTGGTTTGCACATGTACACGTACAATACACATATGATAAAGTCAAATCACATGTACAGAAATATTCCCTTAATTTTTTTTTATTTTTTATGTTTTCATTAGTGTCATGATTATATAATACATTAAAGCTCATGAAAAATAAAGAATCACATGTTATGAAGCATGTGAAAGGTCATTCATACTATTTTATAACAAAAATAAATTTTTCATCAATGATATGTTTCAATTGAGGATTTCATCTGTGCATTAATAAAAATAAAACTTTCTATTGACATCTAAGTATGTTATATATCCAAATTTGTATTGAAACATATTGTATATTAGTAATTTTGTAAATAATAATAACTATTTTTTTTTTGTAGCGGTAGTATTTGAAGAAAATAAATGATTTTACTTTCAAATATATAACATACCAAGAGAAGTTATTCAATATTGATATTTAAATCATTTTTCCATCGTTACTTTTAGTTTTTCACCAGAGTTGTATTCTATTATAACTCTTATTAGGAAGAAAATCTTTATTTCATGTCATCCTTTAATAATGAATTTAGTAAAGTAATAACTAAATTTTGACTTATATTAAAATTTTGTTTACATTTTCACTTGTATATTTGTATACAAATATTATTTTATTAAAATTTTGGGGAAAACATTTGTACTTTTAAAGATATAATATTGTGTCATTTTAGATTTTAACCGTTGATCTTCGTCAATTAATAGTTATAATTTATTATAAATTTGACATAATAAATTATAACCATTAATTAACGACACAAAGTTATATCTTTTAAAAAGACAAATATTTTTTCCAAAAATAAATTATAAAAAATTTAAAATTTATATAAAATAGGCTAAGAAGGTGTTAAATATTTATTTGTTAAAATATTTTTTAATGAATCAAATACGATAAAAAATTATAAAATTATAAATATTTTGGATGGCTTGCGGATTGGTCCCTAACCCATAATATTTTTGGTCCGTACAAATCTTTATTATTGATATTTATTTGGCGCTGCAGATTTTTTATCCCTAATTCATACAAATTAGGATCTAATGGGACGGACAGACTGACCTATTTTAAGAGCT